CCGGGATGCGGGGCGGCTGCGGGCCGGGGCGGCGCAGCCCGCCTGTTATCGAAAAAGAGGGTGGAGTGGTTTTCCCACTATTTACTTGATTTCCTGCCGGGGCGGTGAGCCTGCCGAGGAATCCATTGAAGTGCTGGGGAGTTCACGCCGTGTAAGCTGCTTTTTAGACCTTATTTTTGGATAAAAAATATTTTGCTCCATGCAGGAGCAAACGGGTGGCAGCTGGTTACTTGCCCAGCACAGCCCCGCTCTGCTGGGATATTTGTTTCTGTCTTCCTGGGGAACGCCAGACCCTGACACCCCCATTCCCCCACTGCCACCCATGTTTGCAGCACCCACTGTCCCGCATCCAAAGCTCTTAGTTGCCGACTTCTCCTTAAATAACGAGGAAAGCCACAAGCAGATGGATAACCGCCACCTTTAGCCCAAGCAAACAGCTGTAACCAAGTTATAAATCCTTAAAATTGAGTTTTTAATGGAAACATTAAAATAACCTTTATCTATTAGCGATAGGACTGCGCTGGGGTGATTTATCATCTTGTTTCTTGCTCCTTCAGCTGCACCTTATTAGTTCCTGAGCTAACGAGGGGATATTTCTCCCGGGTTCTCATGGAGCGTCGCTGGGCAAAGCTCCAGCAGCGCTGGGGGAGCGGGGAGATGCTGTGCATCTCGCATCCGACCGGCGCGCTGCTGGGGTGAGCCGGATCATCGCCAGCCTTGGCCAGGGAGGGATCCCCTGGTTTAAATGATGCCCAGATCCAGGTTTTATAGCAGTCGGGAGCCCCTTGCCGGGATGGCATTGGCTTAGGAGGATGGCGAACACAGAAGTTGGGAGTTTGGGGTCTGCTCGTGGAAGTTTTGGTAGTGTTTTGCTGGAGAGCAAAGGGAAAGCGTGTGTTTTTCCAATCTGAGGGAGTTGCAATACGCAGTGAGCACTGGAAAACGCTGGCAGGTGTTAGATGTGCATCGCTGTGGTGTCATATTTGTACCTCTTTGTGTCCTTGTCCATCCGTGCTGGCTCCGAACCCGCTTTCCTCCAGCGCAGCCCTGCCCAGGCATCCCGGAGATGGGAGTTTGGGCCAGGACCAAGCAGCCTTTCTCAGCACCCGCGGCTGTGACACTTGAGGTGTGGGATGCGAGGGAGATCTGGGCTCCCTGTCTACTGATCCCAGTCGAAATCATTGCTACGTCCCCGCACGCCTTTGGCAATCAGTGCCTGGTTTTATTTCTCCGATCAGTGATTTTTGGGAAAGCCTAGGTCGCGTGCCTTGGAGGTGGGCGGATTTTAGTGTTGGAGAGCTGGACGGTCGCTGCCTGTGCCGAGCACGTGGGCCGGGATGCTGCCACCTTGGAAATCCAGGAAACCCTGGCAAGAGGGACTGGAGGTGCCAGCAGCAGACTCGGTGGGCTGGCGAGCTGGGTCGAGCTCTCCGCGATGCGGGGCAGGGCAATAACTCCCTTCGCACTCACGCTTTTTCTTGCAGAGCTCCAGACAGCTCCGTTAGGGAAATCCCCACCCAGTTTGGCTGGGAGGCAGCCCAGATAATGAAAACTTTCATAAAGTAAGGAAAGAGCCTGACTTAGCCTGTGTATCCAGAGGCAGGGTCAGCTCAGAGAGCCTCTGCCCCAGGAGGAGGGCGAGACAGGTAATAAACCATCCCTCTCCCCCCAGTGCTTAATTCCTCCAGAGTAAAGCTGCTTTTTTATTACTATTATTATTATTTTTTGTGGAGGAAGCTGCCACAGAGCAGCGGGAGGAAGGGAAAC